AGGTTCTGTAAGCAACTAGCAGTCAAACCTGTCCAAGCCGACCACCCAGGTTCTGTAAGCAACTAGCAGTCAAACCTGTCCAAGCCGGCCACACAGGTTCTGTAAGTAAGTAGTAGTCAAATCTGCCCAAGCCAACCACACAGTTTCTGTAAGCAACTAGCAGTCAAACCTGCCCAAGCCGACCACACAGGTTGTGTAAGCAACTAGCAGTCAAACCTGTCCAAGCCGGCCACTCAGTTTCTGTAAGCAAATAGCAGTCAAACCTGTCCAAGCCGGCCACACAGGCTCTGTAAGCAAATAGTCGAACCTGTCCAAGCCGACCACCCAGAGAACCAAAGAAAAGTGGTCACCTTGGACAGGTGGTCTCCCTGAAGAGGGTAACCTCACAACATGACTGTGACATAAATGGTTTCCAAGTCGAGATATTTTAATGTCAAATGCTGTACTAGCATCTTCAGTTCTGTGGTGAATGCATGTGGGGAGGGCAGCACGCACATGGAACAATTTAGGTTGAACAAAAACTCATCCCGCACTCGAGTCAAACTGGTAAAACATTTTATATACAGTTAAAAAAAAGGATGACAAGGGTCTACATAATGTTTGACAGTGTACAATATTTCCATAACTGTTCTAGACCTGTCCTATATATACAGTTGTGTAGCTGTTGGACGACACACAGATTTTTCACAGATTTTGTTGGAAGTTTGGTCAACGTTGCCTCAGAATTATCCCTGTTGCAGATGATATCTTGTCACAGTTTAAAAATACAGTTTAAAAAAAATTATGATATGGGTCTACAAAATGTATGACAGTGTACAATGCATAACTTTCATATCTGCATGACACCCAGATTTGACAGATTTTGTTGGATGTTTCATCGTTGCAGATGATATGTGTTCTGACACAACATTTGAAAATTATGGATGGGATGTCCTCCTAACTATGCCAATACTATAATCTGATGTTCTGCCAATGTTCTATGCACCATACATTACGGATATTGCACATTCTGCTGACATGCTGCTCCACCTGGCAGAAGCAGGCAGTACTACATGTATTCATCTGTACATGCATTTAACTGACGCAATATTTCATCTCACATTTCTTTGTGCAACCTCACCATTTACAGTAAAATATCATGAAAGCCTGTCTGGATCAAATCTTTTTCACAGAAATACATGTACATGGGTGCTACTCTCCAAGCAGAGGTTTGGGTTTAGACTTTTTTTCAAGGATTTTCTATCAAGGTTTCTTTTTTTGCACTGGAATTTTTTTTACGCCAACCAAACCAATGCAAAAGAAAGAAACCCCGATAAACAAGCCTAAAAACATGCCCAAAATAATCCAAAACCCAAACCTCTGCTTGGAGAGTACATGGGTGCCTACTACTAGTAGATAGCACTCTACACTAGACTAACCTTCTAATCATCACTCTAACTTACCAGTGAATCAGCATGGCTATAGTTCTTGCATGTATACTAGTTATATTACACGTACACTAGGGCTGCATACCTAATATGACGATTGTAACATCAGGTACAGGTATACCGGTACGTACAGAGGTTTACATGTACATTGTAGGTACAGGTATGGACCTATACCTGAACAATTTGGACTTTTAAAACCTTTCTCAATATCAACAGAAGCAGTAATAAATTTGACAGAATCTTAAAGTTTATTCAAATAAACCAGGACAGAACTAGGCAGCCTAATGCCTTATTCCAACAAAACAGAACCATGTTGATTGTTTCTTGATGAATTCCTAGTGTCCTACAATACTCTAGCTATCCCTGAGAGGTGTGTTGTGTATTAGTTATATACTCCATCTAGATGTTCCTTTGGTCAGCTTTAAATTTAGACCAGTACAGTATCAGTACATGTTTGAGTTTTCAGAATCTTATGCAAATAGTTGGTGTGTGCTCAACTTAGTGATCCAGTATTTTGGACCTGTACGTGATATTCACAGTACAGTACTGGTACATAGTACCGGTACTCTGCCCTAATGCACATGTATAGTGCTAAAGGTACATGTACAGCAATGTCACATCTACTCCATCTCACATGTATTTTTGTCCTTCAGCCCCTCCAATAGCCTCAGAAATGCCTTAGTGAAGTCCAGAGGTTTTCTGATCCTAACAGAACACATGGTGCATTGGATTGTACAAGTGGAACCTGCTGTAGGTAATGTTACATCAGAACAAACTTCATGAACATTACACTGTTCCTGCCCACTGTTACCTGGGTCACATGATGATGTCCTACCACACTCTTGACATGTCTCAATCCCAGCATCCTTTACAGCATTACCTTGTTCCTGATGTACAAGTCTCTCCTTGTCCCTACTATCTCCACCTCCATACTCCAAACAGGCCTTTTGATCTACTAGTTCCTCACATTTCTGGTTTGTTATCACATTGGGTTGAAAGTTAGAAATATCACTTTGAACTTCTCTGAACCGTTTGGCTGGAGGAGGGATACAGGTGTCAGGAATCAGTTCATGCACATTGCTTGCAGTTTGAGAACTAGAAACAGTTCTATTTGTGCTGTCTGTGTCTGAAATGCTGCCACAATTGGAATGGTTAATAGAAGTTACCCGGGCCGTGCCTCTGATGGCATCAGAGGTGTCCCTTGTCCTTTCCATCCCTGCTTCGTTACTGTTAATGCTAAGATTAGCCTGGTTTTTCACAGGAGGTGCACAAGTTTGTGTCTCACAGCTATGATGCAGCAAGTCTCTAAGATGTGACGTCTGCAACTTGTGAAAAAGGTACGTCTTACAAGCCTCACGGGGTTTCTTATCCGTGGCCATAGATACGAGCTGGTTTTGCACGTCAGCGGTCACCCCTTCAGTGTTGAGCAGCTGCTGCAGATGTTTGGTGTCAAAGTGTCTGAACGGACAGCCTCCCTCCTCTCCTGGCTGGAGTCTTCTCTCCTGTGGAAAAGAGTGGAAAAAAATGAACTGCATAATTTTTTACAGGAAGGTCTATTGTTTTTAATTGCCATTCTTAACCCTTACTATTTACCTCTGTAAAATGGGAGGTATTGTTACCTCAGTCTGTGAAAATGGTGGTTTTGGTTTGTGGTTTGTCTGTTTGTGTTTTCAGATATTTTGGTCAGTCCTTCCTTCCTTCCTTGTTCGTCCCTCGTGGTCAAGGATGACCACTGGCCTTGGTTCCCTTCTGATGGGTCCAGAAATGGCTGATGAGGCCAATTCGGTCCATTTTGGTCAGTAATAGCCTAAAGAAGCTGCAAGTTGATTGGGTGTTTGGTCTATGGTTTGGGTACACAAAGCAAAGGCCAACGAGGACTAGCCTTCTGACAGCTTCCCTTGGTGCACACAGATAAAACCCCAAACAATCATTTAATTCTAATCTTTTTATAATGAACCTTCAATAATAAAACCGAACCATTGAGAGCTGACATAGATAGAACTATTGATTTATCGATTTGACTAGAAGTACAATTTCTAGTATATTTGCACATGACACTACCACCATACTGGTCAGTCAAACCTACATGCACAAATGTGAGTGTGTACTAAAATGTCATGATTATTAATATTAAGGCCAAACCAATTTAATTTGTTGGTTCTCGGATTTTTTCAGGAAAAATATGAAGCGACGGCGAAAAAAAATAAAAACAGATCTAGGCATCCTATTATAGTCCCAAATGCTACGATAGGAGGTATGAAGTCAACACAAAAGGCTGGTTCAAAATTTAAACAATGAATTTTGAACTTCTAATGATACCACTGCATTGAAAGATGGAATAACTGTAATGACTAGGAAGAAAAGGACTGTTTTCAACTGTTCAGCGCAAAATATGAGCATTTTGCAGTTGATTCTAATTTATTTTTTTTTTTTTGCAAATCAGGAAAAAATGAAGAGGCGAATCCGAGAACCAACAAATTAAATTGGTGTGGCCTAAACTAGACTTGATATAGAGATTCAAATTTACCAGCAACAATTCATACATTGCTTCACTAAGGTCACACCAATTTAATTTGTTGGTTCTCAGATTTTCTTAAATGAAGCAACAGGGTGAAATGAAAAAACAAGGCCACGGCATGCAATGATAGCCCCAAATGCTATGATAGGAGCCATGAAGTCAACATACCAGGCTAGTTTTTAATTCAAACAATGAACTTTTAATCATACCACTGCATTAATAGATGGAAAAACTGTAACAAAGTTAGGAAAACAAGGATTTTCTTGAACTGTTGGGGTCAAACTGTGAGCATATTGGAGTTGATACAGAACCTAAATATTTAATTTGGCAAATTGAAAAAAAAATAAAGTGGGAGAATCCGAGAAACAATTGATTGAATTGAATTGATTGAATTAGTGTGGCCTAATTACACAAAATAAGCACACTCACCAAGATTCCTTGACAGCAGTGGGACCTGTAGTTAACCTTGGACCCTTCCAAACCATACAAGTGCCTGATGTTGTAGGTATACCTGGTCATTGAAAATAAATAAAATCAACCAAATTTCATGATTAACAAAGAAATGAAAGCATGCACCTGCCGAGACCAGTCTTAGAATTTACATGTACATGTTATAATAAGTATGGCTGCCAATGTGAAGAAAAGATTTTAAATTAGCAATTGACAAACCAACAAATAAGGAGGTTGCTGCTGCTTTAGGCAAGCCAACAGTAACACAACATTGAAGAGGGCCAAGGGTGTTTTTGTACATTTGAGCAATGCAACTGGACAGAAAAATTGGTCAGAAATTGGCAAAAGTACAAAATGTGTAGGATTCTGTTACGTAGAGAAAGGTATTTCATTCGGTCCAAGACATTGAGTAAATGAACCATCCTTGCTCCAGAAATCCAATTGATCAGGGCTCTAGCCCGAAATTCTTCCGTCAGCCTACATGAAGATTCATGATCGGATCTGGGTAGGGGAGTACCAAAGGCATGCTCCCCTGGGAAATTTGGGATTTTCAAGCTTTCAAGAGGAAAGTCATGAACTTAACATTAATTGTTAGTGGTCCTGCTGTACTCACCTCCTGCCATCCCTGTCCCAGTCATGTGTGCAGCCCTCCCCACAGCCAGGCCTGCTGTACTCACCTCCTGCCATCCCTGTCCCAGTGATGTGTGCAGCCCTCCCCACAGCCAGGCTTGCTGTACTCACCTCCTGCCATCCCTGTCCCAGTCATGTGTGCAGCCTCCCCACAGCCAGGCCTGCTGTACTCACCTCCTGCCATCCCTGTCCCAGTGATGTGTACAGCCCTCCCCACAGCCAGGCTTGCTGTACTCACCTCCTGCCATCCCTGTCCCAGTGATGTGTACAGCCCTCCCCACAGCCAGGCCTGCTGTACTCCTGCTTCCAGAAAGACAGCGCCTCCTGTACAGACAGACCCACCTCCTTCAGGAACAGGGTGTACTGGAGCTGAACATCGGAACATAAACACAACATTATTGTTGATTGTTATATTGCATGATCTCTGTATTCTCAATGTTTATGCCCCCAATGATCGCACTGAGAGAGGGAAATTCTTTAGCGATCTCTGTGATTGGGTAAATGATAACCAGATCACTAACCTGTTAGCAGGTGGAGATTTCAATGATTTAAATGATTGTGAGTTAGATAGGCAATCAAAACACACATTGAAAACACCCACAGGTGGGAATTCCTTGAATAATTTAAAGCAAAACTTACTCCTGGTTGACATCTGGCGGAAATTCCATCCCAAGAGGAAACAATTTACTTGGAGAAGGAAGAATCCAGGACCAGTGGCCTCCAGAATTGACTTCTGGCTTATTCAAAAATCTCTTGTCGAACACGTTTTACAGTGTACCATAAAGCCTTCCATGAAATCTGATCATAAGGCCATCTTTATAAAACTGCAACTAAACGAACAAAAGCGTGGGCCAGGACTCTGGCGACTAAATACATTATACCTTTCCGATCAAGATTACATGGACGGTGTTGAAAATTCTATTTTAGAGGTTACTCTGGAACACAAAAACTCTAATATTTCTAAACAGCTCCTATGGGAACTTATTAAGAAACGAATCAAGGAATTCTCCATTGGCTTCTGTAAGCGGAAGGCCGCCTTAATGAAACAAGATCTTACTTACTTAGAAAAAGACTACTAGAACTAGATCATAAAATAGATGAAAACTTAGATGAAACAACTTTAAAGGAATATATTACCGTAAAAACAGAGATTGAGAAAATCTACCAATTAAAAGCCAAAGGTGCTCAAATTAGAGCACGAACAGAATGGGTTGAAAAAGGGGAAAAATCTCTTTCTTACTTTCTCAACCTTGAAAGATGGCAAGCCGCAAATAATAATATCACTAAACTAACTGATGGTGACACTGATGTCACCGATCAGGGGAAAATCTTACAGCTAGAAAAATCCTTTTATGAACGTTTGTATGCAAGAGACAACTCAGTCTCTGACAGTGATATTGACATGTTTCTAGATACTGTTGAACTAGAATCTAGCCTTTCTGAACATCAAAGACTGTATTTTAGACGAAACCCCTAGGAAAAGGGGGAATACTTTGAAGCTTTAAAAGCAATGAAAACTAATAGATCCCCAGGAATTGATGGACTTCCTGCAGAATTCTATCTTACATTCTGGAACAGCATTGGAGATTTTGTTTTCGATGCTCTAAAAGAATCTATGAAAAAGGGGATGTATGTCCCCGTCACAAAAAAGAGCAGTCCTTAAACTTATTTTTAAAAAGGGAGACAGAAAAGATCTCGCCAATTGGAGACCTATCAGTCTCCTTAATACTGATTATAAGTTACTGGCAGCTGCCTTGGCTAAAAGACTCCAAGCAACTCTCCCAACTCTCATCTCACACGATCAAACAGCTTATTTGAAATCTAGATTTATCGGTCAGAATGTTCGTGTTTTACATGATGTTATCTTCTTTTGCAACCATTATAACATTCCAGGAGCTATCATCTGCCTTGATTTCCAAAAGGCTTTTGATACAGTTAATTGGAGCTTTATGTTTAAAACTCTTGAGAAATTTGGATTTGGACTGAACTTTATCTCTTTAGTTAAAATGATCTCACTGGTAGAGCCAAAAATGTCTATAAAATGTTAAACGGACAATAGACATGATTTAGACATTGCTGAACAAAGGCAAGTCGGGAGAACATTAAGTAGACATAGTTACTGAAAAACGACATCGAAATAACCCAAGGTGGACATTTTATATCCATAGTCTCTTCACACGTCAGGTAGGGACACCCCTAGGAGACAGTCCTTTGTTTAGCACAATGAGCATTAGCATCTGTCTATTAATTAATGGTGTCCTCCCCTATAAATTGTCTTGGCTTTGTGCAGTGCTTTTCATATGCATGCCAGTTTTCACACTTTTTTTCTAAAGACATTCTGACAGACACCTCAAGAACAATGGAAAACACAACAAGCAAGTCCTCCCAAAAAGACCCTGTAAAGCCCTTGTTCAGACATTCTTAGAAATGTTTGAAAAATGTCCGGAATTTTCGAGAATGTCCAAAAAGGGTCTATTGTCCGTTTAACATTTTATAGACATTTTCGGCTCTACCAGTGTCTATACAGACATAGAATGTTGTATAGCTAATTTTGGCTGGAAGACAGCCTTTTTCCAGCTCCACCGTGGTATCCGACAGGGTTGCCCACTCTCTGCCCTTCTATTTAATTTAGTCGTAGAAATACTAGCCCTGAAAATTCGACATAATGACTCGGTTAAAGGTATTAATGTTAAAGTTCATGACCTTGATTTTGAAATTAAGATTAGCCAGGTCGCCGACGATACGACACTAACATTATCTGACGACCTTTCTATACGCACGGCTCTTGATATTGTGGATTCCTTTAGTTTAGTTGCAGGACCTAGATTAAACTTAGGGAAATGTGAAGCATTATGGGTAGGATCCTTTCAGAAACGTAAAGATAAACCTTTCGGCATTACATGGCCGGAAACGCCCATTAGATCCCTAGGATTGCACTTTAGTCTTTCAGAAGAGGTATGCGAATCTTTGAATTGGAACAAAAGGATATGTAAGATTGAAAATATGTTCCAAAGGTGGCAGAAACGTAGATTAACTCTGTATGGAAAATGTTATGTTATAAAAACTTTAGCTTTATCTCAAGTTGTCTACAATATGTCTATGATTCCAACCCCAGAATGGGTACTTAAAAAAATTCAAAAACTAGCCTTCTCGTTCCTTTGGGATAATAAACCTGACAAAATAAAACGAACAACACTATATTCCAACTACTCAGAAGGGGGAATCAAAATGGTTGATATATTCTCCAAATGTAAAAGCCTACAAGCGGCCTGGGTAAAGAGACTTATACAAACAGATCACAGTAACATACGAAGATGGCAAGCAATACCTTTACATTTTATTACCAAACTTGGAAGACATTACGATATTTTTAGATGTAATTTTGATGTTAAAAAAAATACTCTACCCCTGACTAAACTCCCACCCTTTTATAGAGAAGTGGTTCTAGCCTGGCAGAAACTTGGAGGGGGGAAGGGGGATCCTGTGAAAATATACGATGATAGAATATGGTCAAACGAAAATTTCAAGATAAAGATTCGCAAGGAAAGCCATATGATATGGATCAATTTATGCAAAATACCTATAGAAAAGCTTGACACCAAATTTTTATACTCTCTTTGTCTGTCTACAATTATCACTATACCTTCCTCCCAATCTTACTGGGACAGTCTTTTCCCGAATCTTAACTGGAAGAAAATATGGGAAACACAAACCAGAAGATTAAAAGAAAATAGATTAAAAGAATTCAACTTTAAATTACTGCATAAAATACTTCCTTGCAAATTTTTACTGAACAAATGGAAAATAGTTAATACCCTAGGAACCATATACAGTCCCAAATGCGACATTTGTAACCAAGATGAAAACTATGTTCATATGTTTTTTGAATGTAAAAGGATCAAAGACTACTGGGCGGGAGTTAAGCACTTGCTTTCAGAAAATAATATTACTATAGACACAAATACGATAGCTTCTGTACTATTTGGAGATAATTTTTATGTCACCTTAGCAAAATATACAATTTATGTATCTTGGATAGCATACAAGGATCATCCTGAGTTATTTAGAAAACACAATGTGCTACATTTGTTTAGGACATTCACCCATGATTACTATTCAGAATGACAAGAATAAAACTCTCTACTCTGTCTCTGAAAGAGAAATAAGATAAGCACACACACACAAAAAAAATGTTTTATATTCGCAAGACTCATGTACTTTATTAATTTATTATGCTTATATGCTGACATATTATTTGTAACATACATGTGGAGACAATAAAGTGCCGTGGCGGACACGGAAAT